AGATAGATAGATAGATAGATAGATAGATAGATAGATAGATAGATAGATAGATAGATAGATAGATAGATAGATAGATAGATAGATAGATAGATAGACACCTGTAGCCTTCCAATCTGATTCCTGTCTTTTTCCCAAAGGATTTGTTTATATCATTCTTAGCCTGATTTGATTGAGGATGATATTTGGAAAACATGATTTAAAAATATGCAATATTTGTGCATATTTACTGTAAGTTTATAAAAAGCACAAGTAGGGGTGGTTTGCTGGGGACACAAAGCCAACGAGGAATGACATCATCATCTTAGAGAAGCAAGGGCCATGTTGTCTGTGAAGGTTTTTCTGTTATCCAGGTCATCATAGTCTAAGGAGTTTGGGAAAAAAGCGTCTGGACTTCTTTAAGTTGCTTAAAGACGTTTCACCAAGAAACTTCTTCAGTTTCTTCAGTTCTTTCCAAGCTCCTTAGACCAAGGACCATGTTGCTGCCCATCAATCTGGGAAGGCTTGTATCACTAATTACAATCAATTTGAAGTCGATTATTCAAATTGAGTGGGAAGTATTCAAGACAAGTCCCAATCTTTCCAGGATTGGATGTCCCAGCAATTTCCTGATTCACTTTTAGTGTCTCACCTTTAATGTTGTTAATATTCTGTACTTCATAACTGGTATACACTAAGTCCATATGTGTTAATGACTCCTGTTCATTAGCAGAGTTAAACACTCTTTTCTTTCACTGACTTGTTTTTCTATTGTTTACCTTTCAATAGGAGTGTCCCAGTGGGCTAGTGGATGAAGAAACATTCAAGAGCATTTACTCACAGTTCTTCCCTCAAGGAGGTACATTATGCAACTTGATAATAAAAATTATAATAAGCATGATACTTGATACTGGATATTTTAAAGGTGCAGTTTATATTTGCTAGATGCTGTTTCTTTGTAAAGTTGTCATAGCAACATTAAGTAATTAAGTAAATTTTTCTCACTCCCTCTAGATTCATTTTTTTTAAAAGACCACAGTTGATTACAGGTAATATTCAGTGCTAAACATGCATTGCAATTAACAATGGTCATTTCTTGCTTTTCATTATTTTCTCTCAGATGCAACTACATATGCACATTTCTTGTTTAATGCTTTTGACATGGACAGAAATGGCTCCATCCGGTTTGAGGTGAGTACAGCAGGGGCTGCAAGTTTAAAGGTTTTCATTTATAAAAAGCTTAAAAGAAATTAAACAATGGATTGCATTTACAGGACTTTGTTCTAGGTCTGTCTGTGTTACTTCGAGGCTCAGTTACGGAGAAACTTCGCTGGGCATTTAATCTATATGACATCAACAAGGATGGCTACATTACAAAAGAGGTACAATGATAAAAAATAAATAAATAAAATCCAAATCTGTTGCACTTTTATGATGTCTGTCTTTTTTCCTGCAGGAAATGATGGCTATCATGACCTCCATTTATGACATGATGGGCAGGTATACTTTACCCAGCGTACGAGACGATTCCCCAGGTGAACATGTGGAGAAGTTCTTCCAGGTATACTTAATCCAGAAACCCTCACACTCCCACCGCCACTGCTCACAGGAGGATGGGGGATCCATGCTCTCATGTTGTTTACTTCAGTCAATTTTGACCCTAGAGAAGAAATCAGGCCTCATCAGCCCATTCAGAGATGCTGTTCTGCATACCTTGATTGTAATAAGTAGTTATTTCAGTTGCTGTTTCCTTGTATCTAACCACTCTCTTCTGACCTCTGAAAGCAACAAGTCCTTTTTTCCCAGAGAACTGCTGCTCACTGGATATTTTCACTTTTTTCAACCATTATCTGTAAACCCTAAAAATCAGTGTGTGGGCAAAATCCCAGTTTGATCAGCCGTTTTTAAAATTTGGCACCAACAAAGTTGCCATGCTCAAAGTCACTTAATTATATTGAGTTTGTGACATTTAACTGGCTGATCAGATCCTTGTGTTAGTGTGCAGTTTAACAGAGGACCTAATAAAGTATGCGGTGAATGTACATTAGTACATCCAGATATTGTATTGAAGCACTGAGTGCTCAAGTAGAGTAGAAAAGTACTATAAGAACCAGTCCATTTACCAATTACTACCCAGTGCCACATTTTATTTGTTACTGTGACAGGCTACAGGGGTGTACACTTTTTTTCAGTTACTCATTCGTGAAAGAAATGAATGATAAATAAACTGAAAGAAAGAAAGAACCTGTTATTTTACCTCATGTTATCCACTTTGTTTCTTTAATATGGATCAGAAAATGGACCGTAACAGAGATGGAGTGGTGACAATAGATGAATTCATAGAAACCTGCCAAAAGGTAAATCCTTATGTAAATCTAAAGATTTTGCCACATGATGATTGGCCAAATTTATACACTATATTACTTGTATAACTATTGTTTCCATAACAGGATGAAAATATAATGGCTTCTATGCAGCTGTTTGAGAACGTCATCTAGTTTCTGCAGAGAAAGGTGGACCAATAATGCTGTATAGAGCTTCCCACTACAAACGTCTGTCCCTGAACAATTTCATTTATCCTAAAAAGGAAAAACTGGGTGTTTTGACACTTTCTACTGCTAACTGATGGACACTATTGAGTTTCCAGTCAAGCTGTTTCATGCAGAGAAATGTACAGGATTCACCAAAATCACCTGAGAAAACAATGTTTCTTTGCATGATATTTCAATTTTCATTTCTGCACATGAAACAACGTGCTGTGATTACCAGATGAGCATGAGTGTTCGCCTGACATTAGAGAGCATGTACTGCAAACCACCTCAAACACAAATTATTCCTTTTATTGTATTTTTTGCCACAAACGTGCAAATGAGAATTCTTTGTTACTATATTCAACTGTGCAGAAATGAAACCCAGACATTGTTGTGCTTACCAGAATCCAGTTGAAATAAATATTTGCTCTCACATACTGATACTCCTGCTGAATCCCTTCTTTTTATAAAAAAAAATGCAACAGGCAAAAGAAATTCCACATGTGCATTTTATCAGTTTCCATATGTTTAACAGTCCTTATAGAAAATAGAGTATAGAGTAAGTGATTGTATCAAATTTGTTGCACTGAATCTGGCATTTTGTAATAGTAAAGCTCTTAAAATGCTGTAAAACAAGTCATTCACAGTCTTAAGTCACTGTATAAGGTCAGACAAACAATACTGCAGTTGTGCAAGATGAAGCCTCGGGGGGCTTCTTTAAATTCCTGATCCAAACCAGTGCTTCATGGTCATGGTCCCAAGAGGGATTATTCCTGATCTTTTAGCCTTTGGCAGACAGTCATCTCTCATGCTCTACATCTTCAGAGTTCTCTTTATCCTCTCCATTACAGGTCTGTTCTTTGTTCCATGCAAAAATAGTTTTATTCTCTAAGTCTGACAATGAAATTTCATTTTCGAGTTCTGACATTAAATTATAATCTTAAAAAAATAATACTAAAAAAGAAAAATGCATACACAATCAGTCACTGGCTCGACTGCCCCCTTATTCTGCAGGCCATGCTTCCATCCAAAGGGCCGGTGTTCTGAGAAACCATCCTACTCTGACAAAACGTCCTACCCGTATTATAATTTGACGGTGACTTGCGACTAAACCTAACCCTAACCATAACCATAACCTTAAGAAATATTCCGGATGGGTGAGAGAAAAAGAAGTTAATTCAGCGTTGGTGTGTGCGCCACGTCTGTGCACAAACATTGGCTGAAAATTAGAATCGCCATGAAAGACGATTGGAGTTACTGAAAAAAGTATTTTGCACAGTTCTTATATTACTTATGAATTCTGACTTTTTAAATTTTACTTTTTGGCGCAGAAGTCTGAATTTAATTTAGATTTCTGATTCCCCCCCCCCCCCAAACAAAATCAAACATTCAGATTTTATTCTCAAAATTCTCATTTCCAAATTCTGACTTTCAACTCAGAAGGTATGACTTCTTAAATTGAAATCTGACTCTTTTCTTACTTTTTGTTTTTGTTGTTGTTGTTTTTTTGTTTGTTTGTTTGGTTTTTTCTGATTTTAATTACAATATTCATTATAAACTTTTTCCTAGAATTTGACTACAATTTTATTTCTGAACATTTTTTTTCTCAGGATTCTGAAAAATGTTATAAGCCCAGAACATTTTTTAGTCAGACACTTTATGTAGACATAAACATAAATAAATACTAAATGAAATGTTAGTTGAGACAGTAATGTTTTGATTTGTTTGCACTCATGTCCATTTGCTGAGTAATGAGAGAAACTCACACTGCATGTGTGAAAATCCACTGTCAGCAAAAACATTGAACCTGTTCTGTATTATTGATGTAGAACCAATAGCAAAGCAGGATTTTTTTTTTTATTTTTTTTTTTGTGGGTGGGTGGGCATGTGTGTTGGGGTGGGGGGGGAGGGGTCTTGGTGCTGACTGTGTTGGTTGGGTTGATAGTCTCTAAATGAAGATGAAAACCACCTCACAGCCCTGCTGTGTTGTGGTTTGATAAACAACCGCTCCAGGATCACAGCCTCTTTAAGTAACTCCTAAGAAAGGTAAATAAATTCCATTTTGTTTCCTTAAAAAATTTATTTTTTATAGATAATGTACACATTTAATCAGTTTTATTTAACAACTTTCTAACGTTTTTTTTTAAAAGGCCCCTTACCAAATATTTTGCAATAATGTACATGTGGTTACTGTTCCAAATACATCACTGATATGTTTTTTAACAATTGATATGATATGCACTGTTTATGAGAGATAAAAGAAGCAAATGCCTTGTGAATGGAAGAACAAATGTGCCACATAAGGCCCAGCTAATCCTCGTGTTTACAGAGCATATCGGTCATTCTAGATGTCTGTTGTGTCAGGGTTAGGGAGCATGTAGCTTTTGTTACTGAGCCGCAGGAAATCAAAAGCTTTATCGCCAGCTGAACTGACTGCTGACAGACTTTCAAAAAACTCCTCTGCACGTGTCCTAAATGACAATTAATGAAGCGCAGTATCATTTTAATAACATTTTTTTCTTTCTAAAGTTCAACTCAACCTAATCTGTTTTTGCAGCTCTGCTCTGATGGCGGGCCAGCAAAAGCTTCCCTCACTGTGGGTTTGGATGCTGCTTATTGCAGCTTTGTGCCCTGGTGCACAGTATGCATACAGCAAGCGAGCAGGCAGCTTCAGAGGTCGAGGTACTGGTAACAAAGCGCCTCCCTCTCAGAATCGAGGCCTCTCCAAGCAGGGTGTAAAGTGGGCAGGTGCAGCAGCAGCGGGGATGCTGGGAGGCACAGGCACCGGGTACGGGCTGGGGTTCCTTGGAAAGCCAAAGCATGGGTCCGGAAATAACTATGGCCACAAAGCAGTCGCCTCTGAGCAAGATCGACAGCTTTACTACCAGCAAGACCAAAGATGCTGCAACCAGTCTCTCTGGAGAGCCTTCGTTAAAGGCGCTGCCCCTGCTCCTGCGACTCACCTCTTTCTCAGGCTGGGACATGTGGTGCCTTTTCTTACAGCAGCTTGGATAAGAGATGTGTGATCCACCATCTAATTAATGAAAAAGCTGTCATTTATCAAAGTAAATTAAAGCTTTTTTGAACAAATGATCTCTACTGTGTCATTTTATTGGAATTAAATGTCATCATGTCATCCTCATGGAGGATTTTTCTGAGAGTTTGGTTAAAAAAATACACAAGTAGTCCACTTGTGCATTTTTCTAATAACCCCTCTCTTGATATCCCTTGAAGAGATACAGCAACATTTTAGACGTGAAGATGTCACAGGCCACAGAAAAGATTTCATGATTTATTTTATTTAACACATGAACATCCAAGACAAACTATATTACACCGTGTTAGTCATAACATCTGAGGAGTATCACGAAATGTTTGCAATTCTGAGTCAAAAACAAGCGATGTCTCTAATGGTAACATGAGCTCAATTACAAAGTTACAGAATATCCACAACTGAGGAGAAATAAGTGCACTTTACAGATATTCCACATCCTTGATTTAGGTGGAATTTCCCATCAAATTAAGTCGTTTTGCCAAAATCAACCAAAAAAGCAAAACAGGAACAGTCGAATATAAAAGCTTATTAACAGGAGAGAATAAAAGAAATTTGAAAGCCTGGTCACAAAGAACAACATCAGTATGGGAAGGAGAATTCCATCACTTCGAGATTTTCACACCTAACTTACACAGCATTTTTCCAGAATCCTTTACAAAACTCAGGCATGGAGGAAAAATAAAACAGGATCATAAAAAGTACGGTAAAAAGAAAAGTGAAATGATCACATGAAACATCCACAAAAATAAAAATAATAACAACACCTACTCTTGAAGAAAAAAAAGGAGAACAGATTTTAGTAGTCATAATCGCAGAGACTGTACCATGACAACCGGCGCAAGAAAATAAACAGTAGTATTTACATATCTGAGAAAAACTGTCCTATGAGACTGTTTCCCCACGCTACAATAACATGTAGGAGATTAGAGGAAGACGCACGGAAACGATGACCAACTTCAGGGCAGACGACTGGAAAATAAGTGGCTATGGAAAGTTAAAATGTGCCTGGGGATATGGATGTAAAACCAAGGCTTTTATGGGAATAAATGTTCTAATGACTCACACACATAATGGCAGAGTTCAACGGGATAAAGGAATGCAGTTTGAGTGCTACCACACCCATTTTAACTAAGGACAGTTTACATACTACAAGGAAATACAGATAAAAGACCGCATCCGTTCAACAGACTGCACAGATTAAAGCAACAAGTGCTATTTGTGCAACTTCACTGCTCATTTATGAACCCATCATGATTACTGTCTACTCTCTGTGAAAAGCTATTACATGCAATAACATAAGTAGCACATATTAAATATGAACCAGGGCGATTCTTTCTACTTTTATTTTTATTTCTGTCTCTGCTGTTCAGCAAACCTCGATGGCTTAAAGTTCATGTGGGAAGTTTGGCTGAATTATTTACAAGGAATCCTTTATCACCATCAAGCAATCTGTAAAACCTATTAGTGACCAGGGTTTGCTTCAGTCTGTGTATGTGCTCTGTGGAGTGAGACTGAGTGGAATCCAAAACACACACATAAAACTTAAATCCTCCAAAGAGATTTCTCCTAACATTACCCCAGATAATAAACAGGGGTTAAAGTGAGCTGGATTTATTATTACTGATCAGTATTATCGCTGAATGCCTTTATTTTTCATGTGCCACAATCCTGCTGCCAGTTATTACATGCAAATATTTGCCCGGTAATAAGCCAAAAAAATGACATCCCACAGCCCACTTATAACCTGAAGTGAACTTTTTCCTTCTCATCCCTGTGATGTGTTCATGGTGTAAAGGTAAATAATCCTGGTTACTGTACTTCAGCATCTAGAACATAACAGAGGAAGAGTGAGCATCAAGGCAGTAAAGTTTTTTTCTAAGTGGCGGTAATTTCAAATGCAACTTCTCGAGGACATTAAAATATCACCAAATACACAAACTGTGTCTGTGCAGTCTGTCAATCAACAGAAAACATCTGACAAATGTGTCTGCCAGCCGAAGGGAGAGGGGAAAAGAAGCATTGACGTGCAACACTATCAGAGATGTAGAAAAAGATGTATGAAAGACAGGAAACCGAAGAAGAAGATTATTTTCAAGGGTAAGGATGGCAACACGCAAGGTTTGATAAGCTGAAAATGTAAAACTTCCAATATCCTCGTTCGTTTTAGAGCTCTTAAATGGATCTACACGTGATGTGTTGCCAAATTATCCCAAAATAAATGGAAGCATATTAATTTTGCATTCTTCAAAGGTTGCATGAAAATACCAGGCAAGTTAGTGCAGGCTGCACTGGTTATGTTTGCAGTACTGTGGTGAAGTTCACAGTGATTCACTCTGCTGGAGGGGTATGGAGCAGGCTGTTCATGGTCAATGTTAGATTAGATCAAGA